AAGGTAGATAAATGAAATTTATTACCTCACCACTAGCAAATTCTTTTCAGATCTTTTAAAAACTACCAGATTCCAAGTCTTTAAAATCCTGATATATATATTTCCCTATCCATATAGAGGAAAATCATTTAGTTCAAACACATATCTGTCATAAATCAAAGATATCTGGTTCAGCTCTAACCTTCATTCTTGAACTAGAATTTTTTTTTATTCTTTTAAGATATAGATTTGAGGCTGGTTTGACACTAAGTACTTAATTTGTGTCCTGTGAAGGGTGCACCTAGAGAAGTTGAAAGTATTCATCCATAAAGATATTGCAAAAAGTCAAATGAAAATAAAACTGGAAGAAGGATGAAGAAAGAATCTAATTTTAGACCTGAAGATCATAAACCTGCTGTAATTCTGCTTCACAAAGCATACCCAGTTAACTTGTCAAGCTTCACATCACTAGTTCCTCAAATTACACACACACACACTCACTCACATTCCCGTATTCTCCATTAAGCTTATACACCAGAGTTTCTAACAGGATACTTTTCCTTCATACTCAACATTTCGTAGCACATAGCTGTGTCCCAGAAAAATGCCTATTGTGCTCCAGCTCAAAACTTAGAAACATGAGAATAACCATTACTCCATCCAGAAAATGGTTTTTTTTTAAAGCATTACAGTAAGGTAATCCATGTTGGCCAAAACATAAAAACCAGCAAACTGAAGAAACATCTGTGTTTACAAGGGAGAAAACAAAGAAAGCACTCTCTGATGTGCTTTCCTTTAGTAAGCAAGTTCGGATCATTATCAAGTAACTCTAAATAGCATATACGAATTAGGCTGGTATCTTTCCAAACCTACTCCTAATGCTCATTTTGTCATTGCTTTCTGGTTTCCATTATGTAGCATTCTTTATTTCCTCAACTCCAGAACTAATTTCAATTCCAAATTAATTTCAGCTGAATAAAAGCAATGATACAAAGGAGAAAGCAAACTGGATTATATTGGTACTATAATACATGAATACCTAGTTCTAGGGTCCAAACTGAGACAACATACATTTTGAAAGTGGAAACCCAGGTTCTTAAAAATCAGACTAGATTATTTTACATTTACTTTGGCAATTTATACCCATTCCGAAGGAAAAGCTCACCTCCTTTAATGTGAGCTGTGTTCATTCCCCCTCCCCCCCCTTTGGCTGTTCAAGATGACATCCTATTGAAGAAACTGAAAATTAAGGACAATTAAGTTGATATTGAGGGAAGTTAGCCCAGAGAAGGAAATATTAAAAAGGCAGGAAAATATATTTTTCACCAAAAGGATTTTTAAAAGCATTTTTTGAAAAGCAGAAACCAAACCTGGCATCATCTCTTTGCCCCAAGCAGGAACCAGCCCTATACAAATGCAGATGTAAGACCATCAGGAAGGTTGGAGCCAGGAAACTCAAGAAAGACAAAAGAAACTCTTAAGAGTAATTAGCCCCATCCCCAGGGAAGCAGATGACTTTTGGGACATAATAGGACTAACCATTACCATCAAGTAATACCAGAGAGGCACACCTGGGCTCAGGTCAGAATACGTGACACAGGAAATAGCCTCAAAGTTCATGCCACAGGAACAGGAAAACTTCCAAACAAAAAGCTAGAGAGGGTATAAAAAGCTACTGGCCATGTGCTCTCTCCTCTTCTTCTCTCCTCTGCTCTTTCCTGAAGAACCATCTTTCTGCTTCTGCAATAAACTGTAACCATCTTCCCAAAGCAGTCACCATGTTGCTTATTTAATAATAATAATAATGATAATATTCCCGGCTTGGATGAACCAGGATGAAGACTTACTTCTGACAATATGATGTGCAAAACAACAACAGCCCAGGGTAAGATTTCAGCAGAAGGCTTTCCCAATGCTGTAATATTTTTTTATTACAAAAATGTAAGGGAAAAGGTGCATTTGTTTGAAATGCAAACTATCAACTGGAAAGGTTTATGACTCCTTTGAAGGAATGCAAGCGAGCACAAAAAGTGCAATTTAGTCTCCCCCCCCCTCACTACACTTCATAAGGAAAACCTTCTTTATCTGATAGGCAGGTCTTCTTCTTGGCATCAGTAAAGGGGCTCTCCTCTTTCTGAAGTAAATGCAAGTTCAGAAAAGAAATTTTCCTCAGAGGAAGAATGGGAGTACTGATTCCATGTCTTACTCCCTACTCCACTCCTAGTGGAAATAATTTTAAAACTGCTGCACACCAACTGAACAATTTGGTTTTCCCTTTTGATTAGATAATAGCTTAATATAACATTTCTGGTAAAGGTTTTTCCCCCCCCACCCTACCTTAACACGGTGGTTAGAAATGTTCACAAATTGAAAGCTTCTATGGCAAAAAATTAGAATTTGTCCAACTTTAGAGCTGGAGAGAAACATTTGCATGTTTTAAGAATGTTCCATTTGGAAGAAAAGCTCTATTATCCCTGATCACTAGAAATGTTTTGAGGCCAATTTGATTTATTCTTAGTGTTAAATGGGCACCATAAGTGGGCATCATTAGTCTTTTCCTTCTGTGGCTCAACCTTAAGCACGGGAACGTGGTTCACATGATTTGCCTGCAAAGAGAAAAATGGACTTTAAAAATAGACATTTGGGGTGGGAGGTGGGGTTGCTTCCTTCTCTAGGCAAGGCACTGCTTTCTGAAACAGTTCACTGATCTTCTTCTACAGCCTTTTTGGGCTCAGTGGTGGCCTTACATTTATCATCTCTTATTTTGTTCAACATTTTCAGTAATAACTGCTTGAAATTGCTGCAAGGCTCGAATAGTTTTTTTGTCTTTTGAAACATTTGGGGTTGGGTCTTGATCTCCATCAGCAGTGGCTTATACAGCTAGTCCTCAGCCGAAAACTACAACCGGGACCAGAATTTTGTTGCTAAGCAAGATGGTTAAGTGAATCACACGCCATTTTATGACTTTTTTGTCACAAGTTGTTAAGTGAATCAGGCAGTCATTAAGTGAACCCCGCTTCCCCTATTGTCTTTGTTGGATGCTGGTGGGAAGTTCGCAAATGGCGATCTCATGACTCTGGAATGCTGCAGCTATCATAAATACATGCCAGTTGCCAAGCACCTAAACTTTGATCTAGTGACCCTGGGGATGCTGTGATGGTCATAAGAGTGAGGACTAGTCATAAGTCACTTTTTTCCAGTGCTGTTGTAACTTCAAACAGCTACTAAATGAATGGTTGTAGGTCAAGGACTACCTGTAACACAAACACAAGCAGAAACTTCTTCT